CCTGAATATGACGTTAGGAGCACTCAGGTCCAATGTTAGCAAACAGAGTTGTGTTGGAGGGGTTAAGATCCTTTATATGTGGCTCTGCTTGTCTTACTGCATCTGAAATACATCTAAGTAACCCCAAAAAGTGCGGTCCTTGGAAAAAGCACATACTTCCATCACAAAATGTAGCCTAGCCTAAACCAGCCAGAAATTGGTGGGAAACATTCTAAATATAGCTTGTGCTGCTTTGTCACAGCGGAAAGCTGCTTCACAGTAGCTGTTTCTGAAGCACAATTAACTAATTGTTATTGAACTAATCAGCATCGCTCACGCAGCATTCCTGATGGCAGAGGTACTGCTGCACAGGGGAAGTGTGCCTCATTCCCACCTCTCTTTTGCAGCTCCTTCAAGAAAATGGCCAATAAACACTGAACATGTTTCTCTCATGCTGCTTTTCCTTCATGGAAGGAGTGACTGCAAACATCTGCAGATACACCTTTTTGTTCTTTCTTGGGAGGCATCATCCTTGCATTCCTTCTCTAAGCCCATACTGCAAGAAAGCCTCTTGTGTTTTGCTTTGCCCGTTCTGCAGATCACTCTCGCTGTTTTATCTTGTGTCCTTCTGTTTGTTATGTTGTGTTTGGCTTTTAAAATCCACTTAACTGTTGCTTATCTACTCCATAACTTGAGGGCAGTGGCTGCAACGGGAGAAGAAACAATCTGTTCTCCATGCCACTGCAGGGACGTAAGTTCAATACGATAAGGATGTAATAGGCTAGACATCAAAAAAAATAATATGAGGGTTATTTTAAGAGTTCTTAAAATAGGGAAATGCTGGCAGAGTTTGTGTGGGGAAAGCAGGGGAATCTGGGGACAGGTCAGTGATGGAGATTACACCAACATCTGAGCAGCAGAGCTGATCCTGTGTCACACATGGGGGTGGATGTCTGAGCCGTCTCCAAATGCTTTCCACTTCTGTTTTCCATGACTGTGTGTGCCAAGAATCACTGTGTAAACTTTGGAGGTGCTGCATGTGCAAGCTTTAATTGTCAGCGCATGCTACATTGAATATTGCTGTCTTCTCTCTTGTTACTCACTAGGTAGATAAGACTACAGCGGGGATGTCAAAACCACCCCTGCATTATAATGTGTAGACATACAGATTAGAAGCTTTTGGGGCCTGGAGCTGTGTCTTTGTTCTGTGTTTATGCAACACATTGTGCAATGAGATTCTGGCCTCTAGGTGCTAACACCAAAATGCAAATATATTGATTACTAGGGAATAAAAGCAGGCATGTTCACAAAGGCATGCTTTGATAAGCTAGGGAGGAAGTGCTTGCTAGACAGAAAAGGATCAGAGGTCTTTACAAAACAGAAACTTGCTTGGGATTGTTTGGAACTGTGGGATCAAGCTGATGCACAGAAAATCATCAGTCTCTTTCACTGCATTTTTCTCCTCTTTTTTTTTTTTTCCCCCCTGCATGTTCATTTAAATGGCATGAGTGTCCCGGAATCTTGTCCCAGTCTTGTCTGTGAATTTCCTAACATAATACTGGCATTATAGAAACAATTAGAAAATCAGTAGAGGAGAAATCTTTTCCTACCCAGAAATTGGAGCAGATGTAAGAGAAGCAAGGAATGCTTCATAAAAACAGTTGTTGAGTTTACCCAATAAATCACAAGGATTAGTAGCCTACCTGTGCTACAGAGCATTGTGGCAACTGTCGCTGTGAAAAGGAATAGTAGTTTCATATTGATGAAAAGCTCTCGGTGATACCCAGCCCAGAGAGCAAATACCCCAAGGAAGCAGTGAGAAAAACTAAGGTGAACCTGCAATGCACAGAGCTCCGTCACAGGCAGGCCACTGGGGATTTTAAGCACCTTCTCTTTAAAGGTTATAAGCATTTGCAAGCTCAAATTGACTGCAGTGTGAGCAGAGGCTGTTCAGCACGACTGGAAAATGAGGGCAGTGATATGTTTAAATTTGAATTTAGATGTGTAACTTTATTTATGGGCTTATTTTGACGCTCACTATGTTTACCAGTAGAGTTGGTTTTACTTGATTCTGGCAATCTTATTCCCAGTCCGTAGTTATTGTTATTTTTTCCTAATTACTACACAACCTGCTCAGCCTTTCTCCTTATGGTTTTGGCTGAGAAAGTGTTTCAAGGAGACAATCTCAAAGGTGAACTGAAATCAGATAAGGAAAGAAATGCTTACAAATACCTGCATGAGATTCAAAGGCAGGATATGTGCACAGATTCAGACTTCATGAATACATACTTTTTGTTTTTCATGGAAAGTGAAATGCTTTCCACCTGCCAAGAGCTGAGTTTGGACCCTCAGGGGTCTGTGTCACTCCTGTTGATAATGTCACTAACACCTATAGCCGTGTGAGGTTAGCTTTAACCTTGATTTTTATGTATTTGTGATTTCAACAGCCATGAAAAAACTCAGGTTATGTATTCAGTAATCTTGAACTGCATTCCTAGAAGGTAAAAGGCTTTTGAATTCACCTTTAAAATACATTTGCTTTTTATTGGCACAGGCTGTCCATACATTCAGTGAATGGTTTGGGGTTTCAAACAGGTAGAGGCCTTAGGGATGTGTTTTCCTTCTTTTTAAGGTATTTCATTTCACCCTTAATGTAATGTGCTGTCTGCGCAGAGCCACATCAAGCATCAGCAGCACTGTTCTGCTGTCCCTTGCTGTCAACAAGAAATCTGTGCTTAGAAGAGGAGGGACACATCAGCCTGTGAAAGTTGAACAGAGGGACAGACAGGGCACAAAACCAAACAATTTGCATCTCATGGAGGCTCTGGGGTAGTGAAAAGAAATGTCGTTTTCAACACCAGCCTCTTTTTTCTTTCCTTCCCATCACATTTTCTGCTGCTGTGCCAGCAAAAGTGCAGCTCCAGCAGGGAGCGTGTCAGCGGAGAGTGATCACTGGCAGGTTTTAACCATTGTGTTTCTTAGACATGCTCAAAGAAGAGGGTGAGGAAACGTGGTTTTGTTCTGGCAGCAGGTTGCACACGCTGGCTCTTCTAATGGTCACATCTCGGAAGCAGCAATTGTCGCAGGCTGGCACAGAGGATCCAAAGAAAAACACTATTATAGATGCTGCTTTAGACCTTGGTATTGAGAGCACTTTGAAGCTGTCAGCTGTGGACAGACAGTAGTGTCACTACCTCGAAAGAAAATACATTGCTAAAGTGATCCATTTTCTTCTGTGATTGTACATATTCCTGTTCCCCTGAGCATGTCATCATCTGCAAATCTCCGAGATGTATTATCAGGCTTGTACTGTGTGATCAGCTTGGCCTCACACTCTGTTGTGTGCTGTGGAAGTCTCTGAATCTTGAGCTTTTTGGTCCTTAACAGCACAGTGCTGTTGCACCGAACTTCCTGCGCTCCACCACGAAGCCCAGAAAACAGAGCCGCAATTAAACGAGTGCACCCCTCTGAACAAGCTGTGTTTTACTGGTGGTCACTGTCACCTCGTGCATTCGCTGTATGCAGCTGAAAAAGAAACAACAAAAATACTATAAACAAATAGTTTTAACCGAGCACTGCAATAAAGGCTATTTTCAATTTTGCCGTTCACGTTTTAATTGTACAGCAATAATTTTGCAATAGAGTTGCCGATGGCAAACATGCAAAAGACATTAACTTTATTTATGTTTGGGATTATTAATGTGGCTGTTAAAATTCCTCCAGTTAGTTTTGATTGAATTGTTTTTTGTGCAATTCTGTCGTTTAATGGAGCGGTAAATAAGAATTTCTGATAATGAGCCCAAGCATCTGTCACAACAACCTGGCGCTGGTTATTAACATTTCCATTAACGGCAGGGTGGGCAGTGATAATATGGAAACCACACAGTTAGAACAAAATAAATAGTTGGTGTCAGGCTGAGTGGGTGTTAATTACTATTTTATTTTATAACTTGGGGGGAGGGAGTATTGGTAGAAAAGTGTGACTTATGAAGGTCATTCTGTCTAAAGAAAGAAGTCTCCAGAGGAACGGATAACCGGGGCTATCTAACTTGAGCAGTGAATGTTTTATCACTTCTATTTATGGCCCATAAAGGGTCAGTGAGAAAAGAGGAGCTTTCTCAGGTGGTCGGGGTGAAGGCTATGGCACTGTGAACATACATAAAGGAGAAGTATACCCTTCGCCCTGCCTGTCTTTTCCTCCTTTGGGAATGTGAACAGGACACACTTCAGCACCTTTTCTGTAAACAGAACATGTGCTGGTTTGTTAAGACCTGCCGGAGGCAGAGACAGCAGGTCGGGAGAACAGACTGTCCTTGCTAGCCGCTGGGGAAGAAAATCCACCTGCACCGAGCTGGATCCTGACAAAGGGAAGGATGGTGTGGCCCAGGTGCACTCCAAGATTAGTTTTCTAGCGTAGCACAATGCACAGAAGAAATATCAGGAGCCCCAGAGAACCAGTATATATATGTGAAGGTATAATCAAAAAAGAGCTAGTAATTAGCAACTAAAAGTCATTTTGTCATTACATAAAATATTAATTGAATTGCTTAGCATCTGACTGGTTTGGGAGGTAATTTTGGACAGTATTTTGGCCCTAAGTCTTGGAACCTTGCAAAGAGGCTGTTAAAAACACTTGCTGCTAAGAGGGTGGCCAGGCTGATGGTGGCAAGGGAGCTGCCTTGCTCCGAGTTGCTCCCAGCATCATTGCCCAAGGCAAGCCCAAAATCATGGAACGAAGACAAAATTCTCCTTTCTTTTTCAAAGCTGCTGGCAGGGTCAAGTCGATTCAATGTCTAACCCTGCCTGTGTGGGAGCAGCCACCTCTGGAGGCTTGGCTGCTCCTCAGTCCACGTGTGCTGAGACCTCCCTGTGATACAGATACCTCCAGGGCTGACTCTGTTAGCTGACTTGCGGTGTAAACAGAGCTTGTCCTGAGCCCTTCTGCAAATGGGAAATTGCATCCTGAATATGAACTAGTTTTGCTTGTCACTATTAATTCTTTTTTCCTCCTTTCTCTCTAGCACCAGCGCTGGCCCCACAGAACATCCAAATAAACTCCCTTTCTGCAAGCCAGTTGGAGCTCACCTGGGACCCACCTCCAGCTGACAGCCAAAATGGGAACATCCAAGGCTACAAGGCAATCCTTCTGTTTCTACTGGCTTCATTTTTCTTGCTTGGAGTTGCTATTACTTGTAGTTTGTAGAGCTATCTCACAGTTGCCCTCGCTGCATAAGGCAAATTAAAACAGCATTCACATTGCAGTACAGAAATGTCACTGAGTCCCAAAACAAAGAGAATGAGATTGAGGGGGAGAGAAAAGGAGAAGTGTGTTGCTGTTTGTGGAGAAGGAGAGCATGGGGAAACAGGGTATGCAGATAAGGAGTCAGCTCTACTTATAGAGGCAACATATCTGCTCCAGAAAGCAACAGACATAAGAGCTAGGGGCAAGAAATGTATTGAAGAAATTTAACTGAGCTTTCTATCTATCAAATGTTACAAGCCATTAGGAAAAGCAGAACTTTCTCCAAGCTAGAAGCCTGAGCCAGGTCAGATTTCGGAAGAATGATTTCATTTCCTTAACTTTAACAAAATTAAATCATAGTATTAATTGCATTTGGTTCATAGGAGATGAACACGTTTCAGAGGCATGTTGTTCAGCTTCTCCAGCATGAGCATGGACCCTCAGAGAGTGGAAATGGGCAAGTCTACAAACACTTGAGCTTGGCTTTGGTTCAGTGTCTGGCTCTGCCTCTCTCCATGAATTTAGGTCCATAAGCAAAGAAAAAACAAGCCAATGTGAATAATCTGGCATCCCTTCTTGGCAGTAACAAGCATCCTTATATATCAATTCATGTTCTTTTCCTTTTGTACATATAGAGGGCTCTAACAGGCTGGCTTGCAGAGCCAAGGAGGAGTCTTGCCTTGGCTCGTTCTCACAACTTTCTGGCTTGCTTTGGCCTGTTGTAATGCTCTCGCTGCCAGGACTGTCCAATAAGTAGGGCTGGCACCACTTTTCCTCTTGGAAACAACTTCTCCAAAGCCTAATTTTATGGCATCAGGATAAAAATTACGTAAGGCAAGAATGGGAAAAAGTACCTCAAGGAACTTTAGGGAAAGTCTTTATTACTCTCTTCAGGAGGACGTTTGCTTGGCTGTCCTGTGGCCACAAATGGTGAAACCATTGTGTGCATACAGAGGTGAATTACGGACCAGCACAGCAGGATGCCAGTGCTGACAGGCAGCTAGCTTTTCAGGGAGAATTTAAAAACTGACCTCTCATGCTGAACTCTGGCAGCTCATATGTGCTGTCATTAGGCCACATTTTTCAGCCTCTGCTCTATTTTTGAGTGATGTACTCAGCTACGTGGTCACTGGACCACTTTGGCACTGGGAATTTGCCAAAGGAAGAGAAAAGACTGGGAACATAGTGAAAGGCATCAGTATGCCATTTAGTGGAGGAGTCCAGAGCAAAACTGCGCCATCTTCCTGATCTTTTATAGCTGCAATGCCCAGATATTTTCAACATGTAGGATATACTGAAACATCCCACTGTTCCAACAGATTTATTACTGGGAGAGCGACACCCAGAATGACACAGAGAAAGTGAAGGTCCTTTTCCTCCCAGAGACAACTGTCCGGCTCAAGAACCTGACCAGCCACACGCGGTACATGGTCTGCATCTCCGCGTTCAACGCAGCCGGGGATGGCCCCAGGAGCAGCCCCTCACAGGGCAGGACGCACCAGGCGGGTATGGGATCGTTGTCTTGTCTCAAAGCACAGCCTTGGTGATGACCAGCATGTAACTGGGTGGTGACTGAGGACATGGGTGGATGCAGGAGGGCATGGGTGTAGAGATTTAGCTTTTGGATGCATCATTGCACTATAATGGTCTTGGAGGGTCAAAAAGGATCGAATGAATGGACCATGGGGGAAAGGGAGTGATGCAGAGGAAACAAATGGACTGCCGGAAGGACCAGTCCCTTCACAGGCTGGTCCAGAAAGTGTCTTTGAGTCTGTTTCTGGCCTCTGCTATCACATCTGAAAATATGAAGGAACTCATCTGCAGCACCTGGAAATTGCCCTAAGCAGTCCTGTGAGAGAATTATTGTGGTTTTTATAATTCCTCCTTTTTTAAAGCTGGATCATCCGCTACCCAGTTGAACTGGGTTCTGTGCTGGGGGGACCCTGGTGGGAGCGCTCCGACACAGGATGAAGGCAGTGCCGTTGTTGGTGGCAGTGGAGGCGTGCACTTGGGCTGTATGCTCACATATAGCACCCTTCTGAGGGTCGTTCCCTTCTGCGTCCTATCTCCTTGCTTGCTTTTGAGATTCAGCTTTGCAGCTGGCTGCTGGGCTTTTTTAGGACACCTGGGTTTCTAACTGATTACCACACATGGGGATACAATTGAAAAATCCCATTCTCAGCTTGTTTCCTTTAGATTTAGGCTGGGCGAATAAACCAATGTTTTATTATATATATTAGATTGAGTACTTCTACTGCAATTCACTCTGTTTGTAATCTTTTCAGCACCTAGTGCTCCCAGCTTCTTGGCATTCTCTGAGATCACTTGCACTACACTCAATGTGTCTTGGGGCGAGCCGACAGCAGCAAATGGAGTCCTGCAGGGTTATCGAGTAGTCTATGAGCCCTTGGCTCCCATCCAGGGTAAGGCAGACCTCTGATCATACATATTCATGGGGATATGACAGAAAAGTACTTTAGTAGCTTTTATCTCTGCCCAATTTCCTACTTGCTCTGTGCCGTTTTCCAAGAGAAGCCAGGTGGCAGAGGGCAAGTAAAACAATTCCACTTTGGCCAAAACTGTTCAGCAAACTATAATATTGTGGATTATAGCTTTTTTTTCCGTTCCCTCTCATTTTCTTGCACAAACTATATTCTGTGTGATTTGAAGAGTCATTTTACAGCCATCATTACCTGATGTGGGCAAAGAGGAAACTCAGCCTGAGAGTGCCTGATTGTCTCCCTGCGTCGCACTTTGAAATTGCTGAGTAGGCTCCATCCCAGAATAATCAGTCAGACACATTTGCCTTGCTTATCACATCATGTGTCACTTCTGTTATCACAAAGATTGCCGGGGCATCAAATGTGATAGTCATCACTGGTACCTCTGCTGCTTTTGACAGGGAGAATAACTGAGAGATTCAGTTGTGTCTGTTTACATGGAGTTTTCAAGCAGCATTTTTACCCCAGCACTAGATTTAAGCTAGTCCACAACAATGTGGTGCCCACAAATGTTTCATTAATTTGCCAGAACAACAACAGAGAAGGATTTGGCAATTTCTCTGAAAACAAATGTAAATTCATTCCAAAGGAGAATTAGAAAAGATTGCAAAGTTTGTGGATGGTCTTATTAATATTTTTATATTCCTGGTAGATTGCCAATAGTTCAATAGGATGTCCAACTTTGGCAGTGTGACAGCAGGCAGAGTAATTTCAGCCATTGCCAATCCATTTTAAACTCTTTTCCAAAGAAATAAGGATATCAATCACTTGTATTTACTTCTTCTGTAAGGAATAAAGACCCGTATTGTCTGAATATCCATGTCTCATGCACTGAGAAGGTTATATTCAGGCATGAAAATACAAGAATAAAAGCACTTTCAGCCTTTATGGCTGGCAGGTCTGAGCACAAAGAACTAATGCAGAAAGCATTTCTAATTCTGACCAAGAAATGTACACAGAGTATGCAGGAGGTTCAGGCTGTTTGGGCATTTCCTGCCTTTTATTCATTCCTACACAATGTTTAAGAATACCTCTTTTCCCCCTGAAAACATGGAAGTGTCAGATCGTGTTTTCTCTGTATGCATTTGACTTATCCTCGGAATCTTTGTTTTCTTCTCTTCCCCACCTCTGCCTGTACTGCCTCTGTCTCTAGTTTGTCTCTCCTTCCACTGTAGAAGATTCCTGATGTGAACAAGGAGGTTATGGAGAGCTTTCCCTCAGATTCTGAATTTTTGCCTGAATTTATTTCCCAGTTTCTATCCATTTGCTTTTGTGCCAACATTTTTCTTTCAGCAGACATATTTATTCTCTGGCCATGGTAAGAAATCCCTCCCTTGATGCCATCATTTTCCTCCTATTGTAAAGCCATGCTCCTTTATTTAGAGAGCAAGGTAGAGCCAAGCTCATTTGAAGATGGAGCTCGTAATGGTCCTGACTGCAGTTACATTGCGCAGACCCCATGATCGCAGAGGTCTCATGTTCCTCCATGCCAACATTACAGTGCAACAACATGGATGGACCCTGGAGCTTTTTTCCTGCATCTTTTGACTTCACACCTCTTCATGATTTTCAGCTGAGTGTCCTTACTCTGACATCTCCTGTCCTCCCACTCAGAAGCCACCGCTTAAAACCTGCTCGTTTTGCACAACTTTCTAACAGGGATCTGTTCTTTAGCACAGCCTTCTCCCTGGTTGACCTTTTATTGTTTAAGCTTTACAGCTTTATGTTTTACACAATAATAGACAACAAAATTGCCCTGGAGCCTTTTTTAACAGTTCCTTTTTTTGGGGAGAACATAACTTTAAAATGACAAATGCTTCCTGATTTGTCTTAGAGAAATGAAATAGTACACCTAGGGAAGGAGTGAGCACTTTTACTGCTTCCTTGTTATCCAAGGAAGATTCCCTGAGTTATAAATTGTATCTGGGAGAAAACTTTGAGCAGAAATTGCTTGGACATTATTCTTTATTTAACCAATAAAACTGAACTCATTGTTTCAATTTGCATAAAATAAGCATCTGGATTGAGAAACATCTTCCTTGAGCATTTTTCTGGAAAGATAAACTAGCGAGCAGCCTTCTCCAGTGGGGAAAAAACATTCTCCCTTTCCCATCTTCTTGATGTGCAATGTGTTGTATACATCTACAGAGCCACAAAAATGCCAAAAGGACTCTGTAAATTCAAACTTTCTGTTCTGTCAAATATTTTATCAATCAGATTCTTTCCATTGACTGACTTTTAGAAAATCTCAGTGTTTTCAAAGCACTCATTGCCACCGTGCCATGTGTGCAGCATTGAGAGCCTAAATGTGAAACTAGCTATGAACTTCGATGAAGGGAACAGTGCTGATTTTAATTCACCCATGTAAGAAAACTTCTTGGAGAGTGAGAAGAGGGAAACACCCTAAAGTCATGACTTCAGGCTTGTCCAAGCTAATAGTGCTTTGATTGCATCCTCTACTGCAGTTGCATTTACACCCACAAGTTACCTGTGAGATATACATCCTTCATTCTGCATTCATTTGGTAATGGTGGAAATGACAGGATGAGATGGATGAAAAAAAACCTGGCCCTTGTTTCCTCCTCCAGGCAATGTTGCAGGTTACTTGGCAAAGCAGCTGTGGAGAAATGCTTGCTTAGGAAGCTATCTACAACATGCAGTCCTCTTCGTTTACCTCCTCCTTTCTTCTCAGAGTAATTAGTGAAGTTGTGTATAGTCTCTTGGTAATTTCCCAGTTGTGTTGTAAGGTTTTTTTCTTGTCAGTACCCACTTATCAAGCTTAAACTCTAATTATACTTATCAGTGCTGAAAATTGGCTATTATCACTACTTAAACTCCTGCTAATTGTAAGAAATACTTTCTTAGCAAACTCTTAGATAATTTTACTTACCATCTAGATGTAATAAGCTCCACTTGATTTCTTTTTTTTGCATTGCAACCTTCTCTTATGTTTTTTTATCCGCATGGGTGTTCCAGGAGTAAGTAAAGTGGTGACTGTGGACATTAAAGGGAACTGGCAACGCTGGTTGAAGGTCCGAGATCTCACTAAGGGTATGACCTATTTATTCAAAGTGCAAGCCCGAACCATTGCCTATGGACCTGAACTGCAAGCCAACATCACAGCTGGGCCAGCAGAAGGTAAGCGGAACCATAAAAGCATCAGTTATACAAAGATGGTCCAGCAACGGGGAATAGTGCAATAACCGCTTCACATGAATTTCCAAGCCAAGGAGAAGTTGAGTCACAGGAGCTCAGGACATGATTCAGTGGGTTTTGCAACTGCCCATGAAAAACATGCTTCCCTTTTTCCTGAAATCGAGAAGTCTTATGTGAATAAACAGAAGATTGTGAATAAATTGTAATGCAAATGGGCTAGCCAGGGATTTCAAAGCTGCAGCCTGACAGCACAGTGCGTAATTCTGACTGTACTGCTCTGTGGTAGAGTCAGAACTGGAGTGACTGAAACCAGCAGAGGTTCCTGGATACAAAACGAGAAAGAATTTACAATTATTCTTTCCTGACTTTGGTTTATGCAGATGGAGAAGTCTGCAAATCTCCTGATATGTCAAGAGGACAGCAACATTCCCCTCTTGGTGTAATGTGTGTACGAAAGAGTTGGTTTTCTTATTTGATCAGTGAGTTTGATAAGCAGATGATCTAACAAGGTACATGGCCTCCAGTGATACCAGCCTCTCTGCAAATCACAGAGCATCAGTGCAGTGGTCACAGTTCTGATTTTCCAGCTCAGGGAAGTATTTGCTCCCTCCATGAGAGCCAGGTGTGTCAGTTCCATGCTTCTGGGTGCCAGCAAACTTCCATTTTATCACAGTCCCCTCCATAGCCATGATCTGGGACATCTGCACTGTGGAGGCCCAGTGTAACTCGCATGCCCCACCACAGACAGTATAAAGTGGGAATCCTCTCTGACATGGCCATGGCATCTTCCCAAGTGAATGGGCAGGCAGCTGTCCTCACAAACCTCTCTCTGAAACTTGGAGGCTGGGTTCACCTCTGAAGGCAGAAATAGCAGTGGCATTGTGCAAATCACTGCTAATATGCTAATGATTAAAATGACAGTGTTTTTTCTCTTTTGTTCTTAACACAGGTACCTGTAAAACCCAGCCATTGATACATAACTGCTGATACTAGAACTAGTGGAAAAAATCAGGTCAATAGCCCATTGAGCTGGTTTAAGTTGCATATATGTTGACCATTACTGCTAGACCATTTCCCCACCCTGTATCAGTAGAATACTGCAGTCTGTCTCTGATACCACCACCATTTGCTGTTCTTCTTTCATCCTTCAGGGTCTCCTGGCTCCCCTCAGGAAATTCTGGTGACAAAATCTGCTTCTGGGCTGACACTACAATGGACTGAGGGAGATTCAGGAGAAAAACCCACAACTGGCTACATTATAGAGGCACGACCCTCAGGTAAGCCATGGGAAACACAGAGCGCTTGAAGTCATGAGTTCCCTTCCTTCAGTCCGTGCTGAAAGCATCCCGCAGCGGAGAGGTTGTTTGTCATCCCAGTAAGGCAGTGGGATTTTGTGGGAGAATGGTGTTTCCAGACAGTATTAAACTGTTGCTGGTTTATTAGGTAGTTTATCAGATTTTTCTTCTGCTTAGGAGTAGTCACAGAAAATTACCCTGAATACTCTGGCTTTTGCTGTGCTACATCACTGGTAAATTATCCAGCTGATGAGCTAATATAGTTAATAATTAAAACCCACTTAAATGCTTACAGCATCTTTCATGCACAAGGACTAGTAAGTACTTACAAGCTGTATTTTGAGGACCGCAGGTAAAGTCTGTCCTCCTCTTCAGCAGAACACAACAGCTAATTGCTGGTTTACTGTTAACACTGGGGCCAGGACTATATCATCACATACACATTGCTTTCTCCATTTGTTCTGCAGGGAGGGCATTAGCAGGGGAAAAGGAATCCCCTCATCACCACAGCTTTTCTTAGCGCTTTCCCAGAGCTCCTTTGCTTCTGGGATTTGCATTTTGCTGAAGCTGCTCTCCGCTCTTTCCAGAATATTTCCCCAGTTGAACAAAGTTATTTTAAAAGCAGGCATATGCTCCAGCCTGTTCCAGCCTCTCCCAGCTTGGTACCTGTTGCAAATTGAGGAAGTGTACACTTTCTGGTAACCAAATTAAGAAAAGCTGGTGAATGCTGCCAGACCCCAGTCTAATCTCACTTGGTAATTTCCCTCCACTCTGACAGTGGATGTTGGTAACAATTTCCAGAGTACAGTTTTCCAGCTGATGATGCATCTACCAGGTACTTGTTTCACGTAGGCTGTGTTTGAATGTCATGATGTCAAAAGCTTTGCTGAAGTCAGGATAGATGATGTCTGCTGTTTCTCCTCTATTGACAAGGTCTGCTACCCTGTCACAGAAGGAAATTAGACATGATTTATACTTGACATATCCATGTTGGCTGCTTGTTCTGTCCTTTTTTACTTCTAGGCGCTTGCACGTTGCTTGATTATGTATTGATTAAGTGAGTGCTTATCTATTTCACTATATATCCTGTTTCTTGTATGTGTCTTGAATGTAAGGTTGCATTTAAAACCAATGGGTTTAATTATATTTAAACAGACCAGGACCAAAATTACGGCCTACATTTCTGTGGTCATCACTGAAAATGCAGATTTCCATACCTGTATCTGATAGAATCGACTCTGTAGTGAGGCTCTGCCATGATCCTTAAGTTTCTTCCTTATTTCTGTCATTTAACTTGAGGATTATTTTCAAAGTGAAGGAAGATGGGTCCCTTATCAAAGTGCTGGAGTTTCCCAGAGCAATCAAGATTGGTTTTTTAATTAGAAGCATGACACTGCTGTGCTTCTATTTTCTTTACATCAGCTTATTGATTTCTGCCCTTATTTCTTCATAGGTAGAATATCCTCTGTCTTATTTGAACAGCATTGTTTAGATAGCAAGTTAAACCAAAGCTGTACACTGAAGCTCACTTACTAGCTTGATTTCCCCAAGCAGGGCTTTCTGAGTACAAGTATTTTAGAGGAAAACTCTGCAGCCAATGTACACATTGTCTGCAAGGTAGAAAGGTAGAAATTCAGCTCATATGGCTGGTGGCATTGCAGCGGTGACACTGATGTTCCTGGGCTTGTCTCAGCATCGGATGTGAACAAACATTTTACAGTTCATGGCTAAGGATGTAGGATTTGTGGTCCACTCTTTCTGAGTAGGAAGAAAATAGTCCCTCCAAGGCAGGTCTGAGCTGCATTAACCTTGGGTCACTTCTGCTGGCCCCACTCCACTGATCCTGGAAGCGCACAGAAGAAGCCTTATTCTCCTGCTCTTGCAACCTGACTGTTGAGGCATTTAATTCCTCTCCAGATTATTTTAATCCTATTCATGCTGCTGTAGGAAATGAACTAGGCATTTGTATGCTGGATTCTTATCCTTCGTTCTGGTTGCAGCTGTAGGAAGCGTGAAATGTGATCCAGCAGAGGAGACAGCCTAATTGGAACATTTACTTACTTCACCCAAGCGTCTGCTTCCTTTCTGTGCTGCTTTTTCTTCCTCATCTCTGCATGGAGGAGTTTGAAATCTGAATTAGGAGCTTAACAAAAGCAAGTAACTAATTCCTCCTGTCAGGGCTGGTCATTCAGAGCAGCTTATTTATTAATATCATTCTAAGAATTTGCTTCTGCACATTGATTTATATGGGTAGTAGAGCATGGATTGGAGCAACCTTTGTTTTTAAGGAGTTGTTGTCCAAGAGAAGAGCAGTTGACTTGTGCCCTTCATATAAAATCAAGGAAGGAAAAGATATTCTCTTTTTAAGATCAAAAAAGGGGCATTGAACAGACAGATGAAAAGCTTTAGCTTATTGCCAATATTTAAATGCAATACCACTACCTTAGTGTTTCACATCTCAAGTGTCATCTATTATAGGCCTCATTACCCCAAACGCTAAATGCTGTATCATCTCATTTTCCCTGCTGTAGCTCCCTGCCAAGACTCTTCCATCAGAGTAGGAGGGTGGCTTTCTGTCAGAAATGGCAAATCCTACCCTCTTTTGTTCCTTCCCTTTGAATTTTTCGCTGCCCTTCTGTGTCTCCCAGGGCTCCATCTGCCCTGCTGGGTTTAGCAATGGAGGCAGCAGGCAGCTGAGATTGCTCATTTGATCTCCCTGTTTCTCTCTCGGATTTATGGAAGGTGACCAGGCTGACTACCTCCTCTGCATTTTGAATATACTCAGACATGGGGAAGGAGCAGGCAAACCAATATTTTTTCCGGAGTGATCTGTGCTAGAGAAAGACATTATGGAAACAGAAGAATTTTTCTTTTCCTTCAACTCCTCTGTCCCTAGAGGAATGGATTCCAGTTTAGCTCCTTGTGCATTACAAGAAATGCAATTAAGTGGCTTCTGTCACTGCCATCATAAGCACTCCCTAGACACCAGCTAGGCTGGCTGAGGAATGGGTATTACATCGTGCCCTCAGTTTTTACCTACAGAGGAAAAGACAGAAATGGCACATCAACGTTAAGGCTCCCAGTGCTGGAAGGAGCTGAGAAGCTGGTTTCACCCCTGTTTTCCCCAACCCCATGCCACATCCAAGGCTCCTCTCTCTGTACTGTGCTTTAATGGTGGGCATGTGGCCTGTCAAGTATCAAGTGTCTCATGTGGACTTGCCTTCCCAGTTGTCCCCTATCTACAAAGGAGGTGTTTCTGCATGATGCTATAGGATCCACACTGCCAGGAGTGCGTGTGGATACTTAACTGCCAGAATGAGACCTTTGTGCATGTCGGCCTGCTGCAGCCATCCTCAACTGCATGGCAGCCATAAAGGTGTTCAGTCAATCTGCTTCATGGCTTTGTTGCCTTAGGAAAAGCCTCTGACCCAGGACAAGCTGATAGAGGTTTCCTTTTCTGCTTCCTCTGCCTGTCACACATTTTGGACTTTCTTTCTTTGCTTTTCAGTCAGGGGATAACTTAAGCCCAGTGGGAGAGAATTGCATCTTAACATGTTTCCAATAACAATATTTCTAGCACCCTAGCTGGTTGGCATGAACAGGCCAGTAAACCTCAGATCAGCCACAAATCAAGAGCTTCGGACACCCGCAAGTCAGGACAGTGTTTTCTTCTGCTCTCCCAGATGATGAGTTCCATGAAGGCAGCAGGCATTTTGGGGAAGAAGAACCCATCTACGCAGAGAGGGGACTGGGGAATTGTCCTTCCCGTAAATGCTGGTTTTCACTTCCCATACCCTGAGGGCAGAGCTTACTTTAGTTTCCTTTCTGGTATCTTGAGTAATATTTTTCTGTTTTCTTCCTTTTCTATTTATTTTTAAACAAATGAGGGAGTGCAGTGTCACACATGGACACAAACCAGCAGAAGTCAGTAAATTCAAAGTGAAGGGTGCAGCTGCATTGCCAGCATCTGCCATGGGGCCTTTTTCACTTCCACTTGCAAACGACATGCCGAGGCTGACAGTTTGTCAGCCTTCACTTCCCATTCTTGTCCTTTCACTAGTTTACATGATAATCCAGCCCTTTGCCTCTGACAAATCCATCCACATTTTAATTGGATGCAGGAGGAACACTACTCACATTTAGCCGGTCCTTAATTCTCAGCAGCTTCTCCCCTCATAAACCTCCTAATGTGTAATTAAGAGAAAGTTTTACAGCACAGCTCTCCTTTTACTCCAAGAGGGTAAGGCTGGTGTTTAAGACCTAAATAACTGACAGCTTTCCATCTCCCCAGCTGCAGCACAGCAGTTGTTTGTTAGTGGTCTGAGTTAGCAGAGCTGAGACCCTGTTACTGACTGACAGTTTTATTCAGCATGGAGACCCCGATTAATTGCCTGTGAAACCAGGTTGGCCTGTAGGTGCTGGAACAGGCTGCTCAAGAGAAACTGTGACTGCCCCATCCCTGGCAGTGTTCAAGGCCAGGTTGGACACAGGGGCTTGGAGCAGCGTGGTCTAGTGGAAGGTGTCTTTGCCCATGGCAGGGTTTTGGAACTGGATGAGCTTTAGGGTCCTTTCCAACCCAAACTATTCAGTGATGATTCCTCGCTGACACAGGACAGCCAGCACCTGGCTGGAAGGTGGCTGAGTCAGGCTGGACATTGTGTTAGGTCAGAGAGGTTTCACCTTCCCCTCTCATTCAGATCATCTCCCCATGCACATGCTTCCCAGTTTGGATGGAGGAGGCGAGGCTGGGAGATAAAGATCAAATCTCCCATCAGCAAGACATAAGGCTGGGACAGGGTCTGGTGAAGTATTGATAAGAATAAGAAGCAAATAAAAAAATACCCCTTTGAGGAACTCTTCATCTTCCATCACACATTTAGTCCTTTTTTAAGAAACCAAGTGCCTAGTGAAAGGCAATTTGAAATGAAGAAAGGGACAGATGTTATTGAAGGGAAAGTATTTGAGTGGTGCAAGTGATCCCTGCTGCCAGCTGTGCGGCCTCCCTACCAACAGGGACTGGGGCTGGTGAGCCTTGTTGCTCTTCGCCGGAGTCTGGTGTGGCAAACTTTACTTTTCTTAGCAGTTTCTATGAGTTAGTATCTAGCTGCTATCCCAGCTGCAGCATATGCATCTTCCCTCCCTGAACTGAGTGGAAAATACTGTGTACAATGTACTAATTATTTTCTACTGAACTTAAAGGCCAATCTTTGCTATCCTAAGTGACCTTCTAATGAATTCTCCTTCAGCTGAACTTCTAACATTTAGAGCAAACCTGGTTTTGAGGCATGGGAGAAGAGATGCAGTGAACGAATTCACAAGTTGTGTGTTTGATATTTAATCTCTAAGATCACCATTGAAAATGCTTTTTTAGTTTGGATACATCCAATTGCAATCTCTGTCTACAAAGAGGGACGGGAATATTCCAGATGGAGATAAGATAAATTAACTGAGGCTCTGGAATTCAAAATCTTGTTGACCAGGTCTTGGGAAGCCACAGACTCTCCTGTGCATAGCATTGGCTGGGGTCAGCAGTGGAGAAGACAAGGATGTCCCTTTTCCCAAGCTGTCACCCTGCAGACTGCTGACCATTGTAGCTGTATCAGCACTTCTCTGGGATCCCAAGGATCACACACTGGGTCCCATCTTGGCCAAGCCCTCGTTCCTACCCAGAAAATAAGCTTGGGCAAAGATTCTTTCCATGGGTGAAACAGGTATGGGCCAGAGAATATATGGCCACCAACTGGAGCATCTCTGAGTCCCTGCAAGACAGGAATCCCCACTGAAGAAGCATCCACCAGCTGCCCCACACCATTGCCACCATAGCCAAGGGGTCAGAGAGGTAGAATGTAATGTTGACTTCTCAAGGGCAGTTTTCCCAACTTCCTGCAAGCTTTACAGAGTGGTTAAATGTCATTTCTTGGCCCATTGGATGTTCTGCACTGTGCACCCTGATTGGTTTGAGAAAATGAGCAAGAAAGTGCGTGCGTGAATAGTTGTGTTTGTTGCCAGTGAGTGTTGAACATTCATTTTTATTGTTGCCTTTTCTTCCCCCTTCTAAGTGGCTTTCAATGCAAACAAATTGCTTTTCAGACAATTCACAATGGGCTCAAATTCTCTTATTGCTGTTTACAAATGTGTTTATGAAAGCTCAGGCAATTCTAGCAATTATCGCAGTATTTTACAGTCTGAGATGCATCCTCCTAGTGTTGGTGGTTGCAACAATCTAACTTTGGAAAAACATCCCTCACTCCTCCCGCTTCAGAGAAACTAAATCCCAACCTCCCTTTTTATTACATTGTAAGATTATGTGGTAGAAATAATCTAGCCTTCTATTGCCCTGTAAAAGGGAAGTCAATATTTTATCTCTTGTTTTATAGCCATTGTAATATCCAACTAATACATAACAATGGTACATTATGATAACTTCATTATACTCTGATCGTGCTGGTGAATAATATATTGGTCTGAATTTTAAGCATGACAGAAAAATTACCTATTTTTATTGTTCTTTGGTATTTCTCAAATGTAGCTGGAACAATAACATTTCAGCCTGCTTTTTGCATCCACCGGGACTGTCAATCCTCATGACCAGAAAAGGTGTAGATTGGGGGCTGTTAGTCACTGTGTGTGTTGCTAGACATGCAGCACGGTACAAATTACTGAGCCAATATTTACAGATGCCAAAGTTAAAACATGCACATGGAAATGCACCTGCAGTGTTAATCAGTCCATCTTTGCTGCTATTCCCTGTTGCACAGAAGTAGGCAAAGGGCCAAATTCTACCTTGTTACACCAGCACAATTCTGGGATTGCTGTGGTGACTCCAATTAGTTTACACTCAGGTAAATGCAAAGCAAAGGAGAACAGATTCCTGCCTTACACTGCAGCAGTGGAACAAGTCATTGAGGGTAGTGCTGCTGGCTCCTGCTTTATTGTTACCTTGATAACACCTCAAGCTACAGAAGTCATGCTGATGCTCGAATCTCACAGTGCACAGGACTTTCTTTCAAAGCAGGCAGCTGGAGTCGTATCTATGCAGAGGTTATCATATTCCCATTGCAGTGGGACATGCAGAGAAAAATAGACATTGCTCAAACAGCTTTGATAACTGAAAGTAAAAGCTCAATGGGATACTTGTGAGGTCAGATCTATCAGAGCTACACTGGCTTAGGCTAACTGAGAGTTTGGCCCCATGCACAGGCAGTAAGTCCATTTTGTCAGAGAAAGTGCTGGGCACCAGTTGTTACTGAAGAGCAGTCCAGTTAGATTAATGTTTGATTCCTGCACTCAAAATTATTTACTGACATTTTTAATTCTAGTTGGTTTGTGGGGTTTTTTTCTAATTTTTAAGAGCATCCATCCTGTTGAAAGTTCTTTCCAGTGTAGTCAAGTGAATATAAGATTACAGGTATGGATCGGGGACCAAAGTGGTGCCTGGTCAGGATGTGCATCAGGGTCAATGTCAGTATGGCTGCTGAGAACTGAGATTACCCCACTGAAACACTCTCATCAGAGTGGCCTTGTGTTTGTAACAACTTCCAAAGGGTTGTAATACGAACAAAAGCTCATTCCTGTTTAAAAATGCATGGCACAGAAGTCTCACCCTGCAAGCTGTGCTATGCTGTGGGCCAGCACATGCAAAAGCCATACCACTTCTGATACTGTGGAGCAAGCAGCGCTCCCATGACACTAGTCCACGAGGCACCAGTTCATGCAAGGCCACAGACTTCCACCAAGACCCAAATCTTACATTACTTTGCAAAGCCTGTGCACTTTGATAGTGAAGTCAGTTTTGCAGTGCAAAAAGCAGGCAAAAACCTGTGTGATCAGGACTCATTAATGGAGCAGGTTGCTTTGGGTTTACTTGCTCTGTCAAATACCAGGCATGCTAATGCGTTGATCTTACCTGATGAGGAGGGACCCAGATGGCTGGCAGCTGCTCTAGCCTGCTCTGGTCACTGTGGGTGCTGCTGCACCTCTTCCATCTGGGCTATTTTAAGACCCCATCATGAATAAATGCATTTACAGATGGGGTCTTGCAGGGCATTCAGACATTCATGTGTATCACTGAACAGCCTTCAGGTAAGCATGTCCATGTTGCCCGTGTTTGACAGTGAATGACAATTCTCTTCAGGGAGCAAAAGGAAGTGCCAAGTCACACAGTTCATGCCATTTCTCTCCTTGCTGCTCTCCTAGATGAAGGTCTGTGGGATATGTTTGTGAAGGACATCCCTCGCAGTGCTACCTCCTACACCGTTGGCCTGGACAAACTCAAACAGGGTGTGACCTATGAATTTCGGGTGGTGGCTGTCAATGAATTTGGCTATGGAGAGCCCAGTGTTCCCTCTGTGGCAGTATCAGGTAATCATGGATTTTTTTTTAATATCTTTTCCAATGGACTTTCTTGGGTTGGGGAAAAGAGGGGGAAAAAAACCCCAACCCAAATTCTCTAGTTGCAATGAATAACCAAGGGCAGCTTGTTTTCACTTGTTTTAGGATAAAACCAGAGTAATATAGTGGTGAATCAAGGCTTGTTCTTACAGCACACTTTACTCTCAAGAAGAAAAATGCATGTGTGCCATTTTTAACTGTGACAAAGAACCTTCTCAGGAATTTCATGAGTGTTTATATATGAGATCTCTTGCCCTAAGACTAATTTACACAGTCTACAATTTGTTTGGGTTTTCACCTTTCCTAATCTGTTGGTTTGTTTGCTCTGCTTCCTTTTGTATTTTTTTTTCCCCAAGGTTCTCTGATAAATATGTTCTGTGTTATTGTGTATTTAGCTCTCAAAAAAATTAAGTTTAGTTTCACAAAATCATTCCTGATATCCTCTGCCTGGCAGTTCCAGTACGGTGTGATGCCTCCACTCCTCCTTCATCAGAGCAGCTTGTTGGTGATGCTCTCATGCTCCTCCCACCCGCCCTGCTCTGTTGTGCTTATTCCCAGTAGACAGGGCTATGGCCTAAACATGCTTCCAAAATCCCTTTGAGCAGCCCAGTGCTCTGGTTTTCTGAAGGAACTTCAATACCTCAAAAAGCAAATTCTGCTCAGCTTGACATGTCTAGACAGCTACAGTTCAGTGGCCTGTCACGAAGGAGGAGAGCTTGCTACTTTACTCAGCTCTCTTCTTACCCTTGCAGAGACAGCAGTACTCCAGCTTGCTTTTGAGCAACAGGTTTCACCCTTGCTGTGTCAGCAAAGACAGGAGAGAGGAATAAAAGAACCTGATAAAGCAGCTTTGTGATTCAAAATTCTGGAGAGTCCTGAGAACCTGGCAATGCTCCAGTATCTGGAGTGGCTTTTATCTCTTAGCTCCTCCAGTGAAAAGTATAAACACCATTCAACAGTTACCCAGCAGGCAAGAGTAATAAAAGCTGCTATCACCATCATGGCTGTGTTTGTCCTTACACAATTAACCACTTAGCCCATGAGAGCTGTCTGTGGATTTCAGTGAGTGCTACCCTTGCTTTTCTCCTTCAGGACAAGGACATAGACAACCCACTTCAAACACTGAGAGTCAATGTTTTTCCTGTCTGTGGTTTCACAGAGGCTATAACACAATGTAAAGGATTGGTAATCATGTCAGTCTTCCCTTTCCTGAAAGACATTATTCCTCTGAAGCTGGGCATGCATCTCCTTGTGATGCTTTTTATAAATAAACTACTTGTTTGTAAGTTCTCCACTTGAACAGAACTATTTAATTCACCTCCTTTTGATGCTTCAGTGTTCATCTCGAATTGCTGCATGAAAGTAAGAGGTTTCCATTGAGATTCACAGTCATAAAAGTATAAAGCATTTTAGGCTGGCCACTTGAGCTAGTACAGGGACGTATAAATTGCACTGAATCTGCTCAGCCCAGCATGGCTTGTGCAGTTTGCCTTTAGGACTTTATTGGCCTGGGCTGGCATCCTAGCAAAGAAGTTGTGGCTGCTTTTCACTGCTGCAGAATACACAGTGATCTGGAACAAATTTAAGCTCATATCATCAGGCTTACCACAGACTTACGCTTAGATCCAGGGCTCGGGACAGTTGGGGGAAGAGAGTGCCTGGGTTCAGTGATAGTGAGGGGTTGAAGTTGGTCTCCTGGCATTGCCCATTCCTGTCAGGTGTTCTTCTATGTTATGGACTACAGGGAAATTATATACAACTTCTGGGTTATGCTCCAGCCGCAGCATTTTTTCCCAAAGCGGAGGGATGCTGACAAAGAGAATATCACTGCAAGAAAATAACAATACTTATTACTTTAAGCCAAGACTGGCAAGGTAACTCTAGAAAGGGGAAGCTGGTATCACTTTGTGTCTCCAATTGAGGTCAAATGAGGTGAAATGACTTGAGGTTGCACAAAATCCAGGCAAGTGAATTGATACCCATGCACATCAGGCTTGGCTAAGCTGATGGGGAAAAGATATAGAGGAGCAGTGAATGTTGGAAGTTGGAGTTAATGGAGGCAGTGAAAGACACTGAACCAAGCATACTTTGTTCCCTGGCACTAGCTGTATTTTTCAGAGCCACTGAGCAGCATTTTGGCAAGTTAAGCCTCTTAAAAAGTGGAATAATTCTGGGTCATGATAGATATATTAATGATTCCTTCAACCCAGGGAGTATGAAGTGGAAGTAGTCAGGAAATGTAGGTGTGCAGAGCACTAGGAAGAAACCTCCCTTTCCTCACTTGGTGATAACTTCTTAGCTAAGGCTCTGGGTGTGTGAAAGATGCTAGCAGAGATGTTGGAGCTGTGATACATTCCTGTTCTCTTTGCCATCACTGTTAGCAAGCACCTTGAAAGTCTGGCTGCAGAGCAGATTGTGTTTACCTCCTTTGAACACCTCTCTTCTGAACACTATTCCAGATGCATTGTTCACTGTGGGGAAGAAGAGAAAATTTTGAAGGAGCATAAAAAAGAATTGTTACCTGTTTTTTGCTCTTTCAGCACAAACAGAAGCCCCTTTCTATGAGGAGTGGTGGTTTCTGCTGGTGATGGCACTCTCAAGTCTGATCCTCATCCTCCTGGTGGTGTTTGCATTGGTCCTGCATGGCCAGAGCAAGAAGTACAAGAACTGCAGCACAGGTAAGACACTGAGTGCATGCTATGCACAAGCTCTCAACAGCTGTGGGCATTAGAAATGTCTTCCTTTTGAAACCCTGATTTCATCAGTGTGAACTCTGTTTATAGGTATTTTGTTTGGCAGAAAACTCACATGTTTTGCTGTCTAGTTTGGGAGAAATGGCTTTTGCCCATAGCCATACTGGGCAAAGAGTGCCTGATCTTATCAGATTCTGGATGATAACCAACCATGGGCTTGGACAGGACAGTATCTGGAAGTCCCAGGGACTGTAGCAAAAGCCAAGGAGCCCGAGTGAAATGCTTGGCAGAAGACCACAAAAGGAATAAGCTGAGACTTCATTTAGCTTTGTCATAATTCCCTGGTAGATGGGGAGAAGGAGAAAGATTCCGCTTTTCCGTGGCTGTACCCAATACAGATATTCTAGGCCTGTATGTGAGGACTGTATCTCAACTCCTGTGTATTAAATAGTGTCCTGCATCTCACATTCATTCTCTAAGCCAAGCTGCAGTTGCTGGGCCAGACAGCTAGGAGGTGTCTTGCTTATCTGAACCTGTTAGACTTTAATGCACAATAAGTATCAAGCTTTGAATTTTCCTGTAGTTACAATTTTTACCAGGTTCCTTTCTGGAAGGAGACGGGAGCTATCTGCTCTATGACTAGGAATGTTAAAATAGTTCCCTTTCATAATGCCTAGTTCTTGAGCTCTGAATATTGTTTTTATCTTTTCTTCTCCTTACATCATAAAGTCCTGGAAGAGTTGTTCAAATGTGTATTTCTCTGATAGCCTTCTCCACCTTCAGCAAGAAATTGTGTTAATGCCAGGAGGTGCCAGAAAAGGCATGTTAATGAGTAGAATCAGGTGGAGGGGTCTTTGCACTGCTTGTTCATAGGGATTAATGTAATGAAGGAATCTTCCAGGCAGTATTTAGTAATTCAGTCCCAAAGTGAAGATCTTTTCTTCCTTTATAATTCACTTCTAACAAGTGTTAGAAAATCAGATTTCAGTCCCATGAGATATAAGATGTATGAATACCGTGGCATTTTACCGAGTTAATACTATTACATATTTGTATGCATAGCTCATAGGAAATCTCTCATCTTCTTAGTTTTGCTCTGTGTTTGGGGAACAGACATGAAAAGACAGGTCTGACCTGTACTGTCAGATACCAGTGTTCACACTGAGTCTTAATGTAGCACTGAAATTGAAGCCAAGACTAAAGTACCTGTCTGCTGCAAAGCAGCAATATGCAACCTGTCCTTCTCCCCAGGGCACGAGCTGAGCTCACACCTTTGGGATTACAAAGAATGAACATGGGAGAGAATAAGCTCGTGCTATATTTGATCACAAGAAATAATACGCTTTGCTGTGTTTTCCCTCTTCTTCCAGTCCCCTGTCCTTTTCCCTGCAAATACATTGTCCAGTGATTTCTCACATCTACATCTTATCCTCATTACAGCTCTGATATCTTTTCCCCATTTGCTATGCACTTACCCCTTCTCTTGCTTCCTTTCCTGCCTTTTTTTCTCCTCCTTCTCCTTTTTTTCTGTCTTTCCTTATTTTACTTTCTCTTGCTTTGCCTCAGTCAGCATGAACGGGATTCACAGCATCTGATTTAGAACATCTTCAGTGACCACCCGAATTAGTCACCTGGTTTCTATTTATAGTCGAAAGATAAGAATAAGCACTTTTGGAGTACAGTTCATCTATACTATTTTAGATACTTCCAAATGAAATGCATACATCCACAACTCCTTCTTTCCCCTCTTTTGGCTCCTTCTGCCCGTTCACATTCGTAATAAGCTCCTTTCCTTCACTCTGATTGTTCTCATTTGCCAGTAATAAATGTAAAGAGATTTTTAAATCATTAATGGTGTCATACAGCACACAGAAGGAAAAGTTAGTTCCTGCAGTTGTAGTTGGGGGAAAAGTGCCTTTGTTTCAGCTGAATCTTTCATTGCCTGGCTCGAGGTAAAACCATCTCCAATGTGGAAGAGTCGGTCACGCTGGATAATGGAGGCTTCACTGCTCTGGAGCTCAACAGCAGACACCTGATCAAGAGCACCTTCTCAAAGAAAAATGGAACCAGGTAAGAAGCTGAGAACATCGTGCTCTTGGAAATGGCTTTTTGTCTAGCTTCAAGCAGTTGTGAATTAGGCAAAGGGGAGAGAATGTTGTCTGTAGGATCTAGGGAGGACTTTAATGCCCAAGTCACTGCCCCAGGCTGGGATTCTGGTTTCTAAGCACGATTTAATTGTGTCATTTCAGAGAAATGACAACATCCCACACACTCATCCTTTACATTTCCTAGGTCTCCTCCTCGCCCAAGCCCAGGGGGGCTGCACTACTCTGATGAGGATATCTGCAACAAGTACAATGGAGCTGTGCTGACTGAAGGCTTGGGCCTCAACGAGAAGCCCTTAGAGGTGTCGGAGTCAGAGGTAGGGGTTTCCCCTTTGCCTTGCCAAATGTTGCCCAGTCACTGCTGACATTCATTTCCCTACTGAATCCTGGCAAGTCTTTGAAGTCCCAATCCCATACCTGCATTATACTTTGTTGTCACTGTTTATCTGTCTTGGGGACTTTAAAATGTGCAACGTGCTGGGCTGTTCACATCATATCTTAAAGTGTCAAAGGAAAGAATGACAAGCAGGACCCAGCCAGGGGAGATTCCAGACCTGGCCTTAGTGGGTATTTGTGTTTTTCCAGTGTTACACAGAAAGACAAGTGCAGTCAGTCAGCCAGTGTGTGCTGACCTCTCTGGAAGGGGCTGCACATCCCCTTCTGCCTATGCTGCAAACCTGGAGCACTTTTAGGAAAATCTGCATATGCTGCAAAATAACCAGCTGGCTGGAGCTGCCATCTGGATGATGGGACACGCTTTGGATTGTTGCATTGACTGAAGTATGTGTTTTGAAGTTCTCACAGTGCCTTTTCTAACAGCTACAGCAAACACCAAGGTTTGGAAGAGTGGTCTTGAGTGGTGGTAACTACTGCCTCTGTTACAGGGAGGGGTAAGTGGGAATGAGTAACCTGCCAGGGAGCACATGGCCATAGCTGTGAGCACCCAGCTTTCAGGTTTCTGAACATCCCAGCCTTCAGCCTTAGTTTAACTCAAGAGGAGCCTTCTGTTCAGGTTGCTTTTAGTCTCTGTTATCCAAAGAAGGTGGGTGTATGCTGGCATTATCCATATGGCAGTTCTCCGTCTTGTGTCTTATATCCCCTTTAAGAAGAAAGTGCTTGTGGTCTGTAGTCCGACAGGGGCCAAGGGTGGATAGACAGACTTCAAGGGATATGCAGAAAGGTAATTTTGTCTCTAAAACTGTGTTGTCAGCTGAGATCCTGACAAATCTGAACTGACACCGCAAGAAGCGAGCAGTGGGCCAAACCACTCCAAACCTGACCCTTCTAGCAAGAATAAATCAAGAGGAGCAAATAGTGAAAGATGATGACAGTTTTCATCTGTAGCTTTTCTGCACCTGCAGCTACAGCTGCTTTTCCTGGCTACCTAGCTCTCACCTCCTGCTAATTACCATGGACAGCCTGCTGCTTTGTGCTGCCCTGTGGCCAACCTGTCATGCAGGCTGCTTTCCCTGGTGCAGCTCAAGCGGCTGTCTATGCGACGTTACCCTCCAGATTAAACCCATAGTGCTTTGGTCATGTCACTGTAACAACTCAGCATTAAACCTGTCATTAAAAGAGTTTGCTGAGCATGATCACGAATTTAGCACTGGCACCTTTTGACTTTAATTTCGATGCCCCATGTGGTATTTCCTGGTAATGTGCAGAAGTCTACTTGCAGGGTGTCATTACTGCCTTCTGTATGCAGTGTTTGTGCAGCACAGAAGAAAATGATTTTGGGTTTGGGTTTTTTTTTCTCAAGCTATAATTAGTATTATTTATTTACTGTGTATTGCAGTCGAGCCTGAAGGTCTCAATTGAGATTCTAATGTTTCTGTGAATCTTTGTGTGTCTATGAGTATCTGAACAAAATATGCCTCCTGTTTTTCCTTGGGGCTTAGATATGCAGCCTTTCTGTATAATGTCTTTGATGCTTGTTGGGGTTTTTTTGTGGTGGGGTGTGCTTTTAGTCGTGAAATGTTAATACATTCCCAGTGGAGGTAGCAATAGGAGATGCTGCCTTCTGATCAGCCTGAAAATGCTGTTTATGTTGGCTGGTACAGACAGGAGGGGAGGGTGGGTTGGGGCAGA